TTAAAAATACCCCTGCACGCTGTCGGCGACTCCAGTCGCCGATATGCATTATGCATGTTCAGTGAAAGAGTTCTTGGAATATACTGACCCCTGACCTTTATCCGGGTACTTTCAGACAAGATGTTTACATGAACGACGATTTTCACTTGTAAAGAAGCGTACTTTTCTTAGAAAATTTCTCGTTATTTACCGAGGAATTCTGTGCTACGACCACTGCTAAAACAATAGGCGCGCACAATGGATGTCAATGAAGCATTTGGGGAGATCTTTGGAGACTCTGACTCTGGAGATTCGGACTTTGAAGAGCCTTTTGTGAGCGGTTCAGACGACGATGAAGCCAGTGAAGGTACGTGTAATGATAATGATTTACCGGGGGAAAATGGCAGCATTGGTGGGTCGGATCCTGTCGACGTCCCTGCTGAAAATCGGCATCGTGTGGCAAAGGCCGATGATGATGCTGCATGGAAAGAGGCCTTGCAGAGGGCGTACGAAGACGACTGGTTGACAAATTTCAGCCATCAGCAGGGCCAGCTGCTGTATGATGCAGATGAAGAACCAACTGAATATGGGATTTTTTCCCATTTTTTTGATGGGGAGGTCATTGATCTGCTGGTTCATGAAACAAACCGATATGCTGCAACAACAATTGCAAGCAAAGGAGGGATGGAGAATCTCAGCCAACATTCACGATTCAAGAAATGGAAAGAAGTCCAAGCCAATGAAATGAAAGCTTTTCTTGCCATTATGTTGTTGATGGGTATTGACCGTCGTGCTAACTACGAACTTTACTGGACCACTGAGTGGACATTGGAAGCACCTGGCATAAGATCTATCATGTCACGGGATAGATTTTACCTGATTCTTACCTTTTTTCATTGCACGGACAATGCCCAACTCACTACACCTGCGGATGAGAATCATGACAGACGGGGAAAAATAAAAGAGGTTATGGACATGATTGTGGCTCGATGGCAGACAGCCTATTACCCAGATCGAGAAGTGTCTGTCGATGAAACAATTATCCCATTCAAAGGACGTACTGCCATGAAAGTGTACAAACCAAATAAGCCCCACAAATGGGGATTGAACTGTTGGAACTTGGCAGAATCTAAAACGGGATATGTCTGGAAATCAGAACTTTATCAAGGCAAGCGAAACAACCAAACAGAGGTTGGTTTGTATCACAATGTTGTGGCAACTTTGTGTCAGCCCATCTATGACAGAGGCCACCATGTTTACATGGACAATTTGTTTACATCCCCTGCCCTTTTTGATGACCTCAGTATCCACGGTACAGGGGCATGCGGAACCCTACGAACAAATCGTGTCGGAACCCCAGAGGCAATAAAGAAGGCAAAGCTGAAAACCAGTGACCCTCTTCTTTCTGTTCGTGAAGGAAAGGCCCTGTATGTGTCGTGGTTCGACAAAAGACAGGTGAATATTGTTTCAACTGTTCACAATGCGACTACATTCCAAAAAAATGTTCGTGCACGAGGCCAAAAGAATCCTCGCAAGGTGGATAAGCCTGTCGCCATTGAGTGTTACACAAGATACATGGGAGGAGTTGACCGTTCAGACCAAGGGATGTGGTATTACCTTAACATTCATAAAACACTGAAGTGGTGGAAAAAGGTATTTGTCTACATATTGGAAGTGAGTTACGTCAACAGCTGGATAATCTGGAAAGCCCTGCATCCTGGCACTAGACAGCGTCCTGAAAAGTTCCGCTTTGCCATTGTCGATGGGTTACTGGAAGGATACGCCAGACCCGGTGGAAGACCAGGAAGAAGATCTGTGGATGCACCGAATCGCTTGACAGAAAGACACTTTCTGGCTGTCAATCGGAATCTCACCCCAGCCGGACGTCCATCCAAACCAGACTGTGTAGTGTGCTCCAATCGAGCAGTTCGACGACATCAGACTGAGTATATGTGCGCTCAATGTAATAAGCCAATGTGTCCCGCTCCTTGCTTCAGGAGATACCACACTCTCATGGACTATAAAATAGACTGTCTTCCAGGATGTCATCGATAAATGCATGAAACAGAAGAAAACGGAATCCAAACTTTCATGCAGATGTGCACACACACACACACCATGTACATGTACATGTATGTAATGCATGACCAACTTGACCAAGCATGTGTGGTGTGTGAAAAGTACATGTAGGTGACCTTAAATTTTGGGTGATATTTTTGGTGATTTTCAAAAGGTTATAACTTTTCTATTGCTGCACCTAGAAAAATTATATTTGTATCACCAGAAAGGAAATTTCACCAGGGAATTTTTTTTTATTTTGTAAAACCCTCAAAGATGCTTCTTTCATTATGAAAATGCAACTTGACTTACTGCCGGT